AAAAAAAAAAAAAAAAAAAAAAAAAAAAAAAAAAAAAAAGGATTCTGTGATGGCAGCTTTTCTGCAAAGCTGTTCTGAGACTTGGTGGTTGTTCATGATCATGCAGGACATTCTTAGCCGTAGCCACGTAATGGCCACAGTATTTCAAACTTTTATATATGTTTTCATATGGGACGCTGGCCCCGGTTCCCAGCACATGCTGCTCCCCATGAATAGATTGGAGCATGATTCTTGGAAAAAAAGACACGAGTGAGAAATCGATGTAGGACGATCTCGTTCTGTAAATAAATTATTTCGTGTTTCTTGTATAGTTTTCCATGAATTAGCACCCAGAGGTGCTTCGTATGGCATAAATAAGTCTAGTTGGTAGTTGTTCATATATGCGTCTTTTATTCATTTTAGAGCACTTGGGGGTTGAGAGTTAGAGTATACGCCTAATAAATGTAAAGTCCATAGTTCAGTTCTACTTAGGCCCACTCTGCTCGGCTAGTGAGCCGCACTCGCAAGAGCGTTTTCTTTTCTTTTCTTTTTATTTGATTTTCCTTTGGCCTCTAATCTCACAGCGAGAGCACCACGGGATAAAGTGGATTGATGGCAGAAATAGGTTAATGGTTCAAATCCCTTTTTCCACTCGTCAGCGTCGCTGTCTGGCCAAGGAAAGAATGGAGCTGACACCACCCCACCCTGGAGTGAGTGGGAGAGATGAACACTTTGCGGCGGTGATGATATAGTCTGAATTTTGTGGTGGTACGAAGGAGGAAGGCCTCACTTGCAATGATATTCGAAGTAAGTCAATTAATACAGTTGTGTCACATAAGTAGCAACCTGCACGAATGGTGTAACGACTGCCGAGTATGTGTGTAATGTGTGTGACCTACCACTAATACATGCGTCTTGTGTGCTTGCCTGAGTCCAAGTATGCTAATTTTGTTGGCTGTGATGTATGGCTGTGCCTCACACACAAAGTAGCCAGTAGCGGAACGACAGCGTCGACAGGGACAGCGCTGAAGTTGGGGAACAAACGGACTTGTGGAAGGCCCGAACGGATGGGCAGACATAGAACTTGGCTAGTAACGGGCAGGGATTTCCATGAACTCGGGTAGGCCCAAGTGAAGTCTAATAGGCTTAGGAAGGTTCGGTAGTTGCCAAAAGGGGTCACAAGTACTCAGGGCCCTGAGGTTGGACTGCAGGTCGAACTGATGTTCCCACTAAAGGCAGGAACTTCCAGTAGGTCTATTTTCTGGTAGTTCCCACCCAGAAGATCTGGCGGCTGAGTGAGGCAAGAGTATACCATTCGGGGCAATGAGAATTCTACTCATTCATCTGGCAGTCATGCTGCTGCTCCGCCAAGAGGGAGAAGTTGGCGGAGCTCCTGTAAGTTGAAGGTGGAGCTGGAGGGTGAAAGAGAAAACCTCCATGGCTATGAAGTTGTAGTAGCCTAAGGTAGGAATATGTCTAGGCTATGGAGGTGAGGGTGATGGACCTCTAACCATGCTATGGAGTGTAGAGAGGTTGAGGAAGGAGGAAGGAGATAAGAATCAACAAGAAGACTCACCTTTCGCTATGGTGCACTTACATCTCCATCTTCATGGTTGGCGCTGCTTCAAGAAGGCCCTTGAAGGGATACCAGTTGCGCATGGACTTCTTTCGAAGAGGATAGGTTCGGCGGTAGTTGAGGGAAGAGGACAAGAGAGCATTTGCATTGTCCTTTGAATGTCTTCTCTCCATTTCTTCGCTTCCCTTCTCTTTTGTCTATTTAGTTTTACTTGACTGTTGTTTTCAATAGGGCCTTCCTTTAACATCTGGCTGTTATGAACTTGGTTGTCTGACGATTTTTACTGCCACTCACACACAGAGTCTCATACACGCCCACACATGCATAAGAGAAGGGGGAGAGGAGACAGAGTCCACACTGCACACAGATCAGAGTAGGCAGCGAAAGTTCAACCATGCACAGATGGGGAGAAGACA